TTATTATTAAATTCTTCAACAAAGACTCCTACTATATATGGAGCGAGAAATCCCGGAGATGCAAGCTGGTTTTAGGAAAAGAAAGAGGCACTAGGGATCACACTGCAAACATACATTGGATAATGAAGCACACAAAGGAATTCCAGAAGAAAATCTGCATGTGCTTAATTGACTACAGCAAAGCCTTTGACTGCATAGATCATAAAAAGCAATGACTTGCTCTTAGAGGAATGGGAGTGCCACAACATCTGATTGTTCTGATGCGTTAAATTTTACTCAGGACAAAATGCTGCTGCTAGAACAGAATATGGAGAAACAAAATGGTTCCAACTGGCAAAGAGATAAGGCAAGGTTGCATATATTTTCAACATCTGTATGCAGAAAATATTGTTCATACAGCAAGCTTAGTGTCAGAGGCAGGAGGAATGAAGATCAGGGGAGGGAACATTACCAACCTAAGATATGCAGATGACACTACTAGCCAATAAGGACCAACAAGGACCTGGAGCAATTACTGAAGAAGGTGAAGGAGGAAAGTGCCAAGGTAAGCTTAATGCTGAACATTAAGAAAACAAAAATAATGACCACGGAAGAGCTACAAGAATTCAATATAGACAATGACAAAATTGAAATAGTCAATGAGTTCCCATACCTTTGATCAAATATTGACCAGAATGGAGACTGAAGTCAAGAAATCAAGAGGATATTAGGAATGGGGAAAGGCAGCTATGAAAGAACTGGACAAGATTCTGAAATGCAAAGATATAACTCTGAATACTAAAGTGAGGATTGTCTGAATACTAAAGTGAGGATAGCCATTGTATGCTCCATCTCAGTGTACGGATGTGAGAATTGGGCAGTGAAGTATGCTGACAGAAGGAAAATCAACTCATTTGAGAATCAACTCATTCCAGGAAGAGTACTGAAGATATCATGGATGGCCAAGATGACAAACAAATAGGTCAAACCTGAATTCTTCCTGGAAGCCAGGATGATTAACTGAGGCTGTTGTACTTCAGCCTTTGACAAGGTTCCCCATGACATTCTTGCAAGCAAGTTGGTAA